CTGGTCTTGGCTGGACCAGGCTCCCTCAGCCTATTAATGCAGCTGAGCGGGTTTCACCGCCTCTGGGCCCTGGAGGGCGGCCGACGCAGGCCAGGCTGGACCAGTGTCACCAACTTCTTCTCGCAGGTCAGAAGCAGCTGAAAAAGGCTTTGAAGGCCGTGGTTCTTCGCTGGAGCGAGTGGCCAGCTCTGTCTACTGCGGCAGAGCAATTGCTTGCCACCGAGGAGTGGACGCTGATACGGACACAGTTTCATTGCTGCGAACTGGGCAAGATTTGCCGCAAAGCTTGGCTGCATGGAAAGGCTATGCAGCAGCAGGAGAAGGAGTCAGTTGAAAATGGAAACTGCGGTGGCCGGCTTTTCTGTGAGTTGCTTGGGAAAATCATCAGGCAGAGCTTGCTGTTGGGTTTTAAGTGTGAAGGCTCGACCCTCCAACCTCCAAAACAGGGATCTTTGGGAAGTTTATATCACTTGAACTGCCCCACTTGATTGGACAACCCAGCACTCATGGTGCAGGTTTGTTGGCCAGCATCCAATTTGAGTGTTCTAACGATCAGTAACCCAAGTTTTCTTGACAGTTTGCACTGTGGCGATATTTGTTTTGGGCACCCTGAAACACTTTTCTGAATGCGTAGCAGGTGGTCAGACTCATTAACGATTGTTCCAGACAGTTCCCTTGTTCGCCAGCCTTGCATCTGTGGCCCGACAATGACCGGGCGGAACCTTGAGTTTTCGATAGTTTTGGGGAGGTTCCGCCCAGGCACTGGATTCTTGAGTCTAGGGCAAGCCAGGTTTCTTGGACAAACAGCTGGGAGGAAAAGGGTTGGGGATTATCCAGGATAGGCCTGTTGTGTTTAAGAGACCTGGTCTCTTGTGATTCAGACCTGTTTCAGACTTGTTTCAGAGTGGGTGTTTTGGGTGTTTCAGACTTACTTGTTTCTGTTTGAACCTTGCCAAATCCGTGGTGTTCGGGCAATTCCATCCCTTCAGCGGAGGTTTCATCTTTGACGGGTTTGGAAGATCTTTCGGAGACACGTTCCAGGGGATGGTTGGGCCTGGCCAGGCCTGCTGAGCTTGACGTTCGCTGTGCCTGCTTGTGATCGCCCGAGGGCCCTATAGAGGAATACATTTAGATGAGTTCGGGGATGCTTTTGCTCATTTCTGTTGTCTTAAAGCTTCCAAAGCCTTGGCTTCTCTTTCAATTTGGCCCCTAGCCCGGGTTCGTATTCATGGGGCTGTTGGTCCAAGGAGCCAGCCATTTGTAGACGGGGCACCGCAGCAAGGGGCTTCGAGCTTGTGTGTCAGACTGCGATCAAGTAGCGCGTAGCAGCCACAGAGAGCATTCATTACAGAAGGCCGCTGCAAGCAGGCTATGAAGACATTCAGTCTCCAGGTTGCCGTGAGCCGGCCCAGCTACATACATGTGTTTCCCAAGGCTGTCGGCTAGACGCAAGCCCGAGTAGCTTCTTGGCACGCCGCCGCCTGCCATGGTTGCGCGCCAAAAGAGCTGCAAGTGGCGGGTGCTGACTAAGAAGCCAGCGCAGCTGGACCGGGCCTATGCTCGCCTGCTGCAGAAGAAAGACGGCCGCGCGCTGGAAGACGTGACCCTCTCAGATCGGGAGATATTCTTGACATGGAGGAGGAGTGAGCTTGGAGCCCCAGGAGTCGTCAGGGGAGTAGCTTACAAGACAGCCTGGCAGCTAGTTCACTTGGCCCTGCGCGAGATCGCATTTAGGCTACAGCCTGTTGAAGATGCAGGGCCTGCTGAGTTACCGTCCGAGCAGGCGCCAGACGCAGCAATGGCCCCTTCGCCTTCACCGTCGCCCGCCCCAGCGACGGCGCCCTCACCTTCGTCGTCGTACGAGTCACTGGCTCATCGCACGGAGGGCCAGTTGCAGGTGCTTGTCGGCTTGTTTGGAGCAGCAGCTGGTCACGAGATCGTTGCTCGGGCGCTGTCAGTACTTGGCAGGTACCAGGAGAAGGGCCTAAAAGCGCCGCAGATTTCACCATACGCTTTGGTGTCTGCTGCGATTGCCCTTACGGGCTTGGAGGACGTGGACGAGAAACGCGTCAGGTACACGAAGGCATTGGGCGAGAGGAGAGCAATCTCATTGGCAAATCTGCGCCAGCAGGAGTGCCTGATTGTGATGACGATGCCTGTGGAAGGGCAAGCTGGGCAGGAGTTTTGTAGAGTTGAAAGGGGCTGAAGATGGCCCTGGACAGCATAGGCCAGCGTTAAAAAAGGATTGAGCGTCTTGATGTCTGAGCCGGAGTTGAAGGCCTTCAAGCATTTTCAGGGTGGGCCCAAATTAACATCAGTTCCCATATATGGACGCACTGGCAGCAGTCTGAAACCTCGTGGACGGTTTTAAGAGGAGTGAGAGGGGGACAGAAATGCGGAGGGCTTCCCCCGACTGCCAGAGGTGCTTGTAGCTGATGCGCAACTGCTGCCCACCCGCCCACCCAGGCCACAGCGTGGCAGACGACATTGGCAGCGGGGTGCCCCAAATACAGGCTGATCTGAGGCTTCTCTTGCCAAATCCACACTTGGGCCGTTTCAGGAAGGTTGCAGTGCTCCGAAAAAGAAGGGTTCTGAGCCATGACCGGCAGAGGCCTAGGTGGGAATGTTTCAGACATGTTTCAGGCCAGTTTCAGACTCATCGAACGAGGGCTCTTCTCTTTGCCGGTGTGGAACCTGTTGGGCAGTGGAATGAGCTTCTGAGAAATCAGGGGCCACGGCAAGTGTTAGGGGGAATTGAGTTCAGCCACGCACTTGCAGCCAGTTTCCAGCGAGCAACTAATCGCGAAGCACGTCTTGGTGTGGCAGATTGCGTCAGAGCGTTGAATGACACTGTGAAGCCCGGTGAAAGCTCCCAACGTTGAATGACTCCGTGAAGCCCGGTGCAAGCTCCCTGCAGAGGTTGGAAACTGCCGCTCTTTGTGGGCGAGGCGTGAGTTGGAGGGGAGGTGTCTTGAGCTCTCTAGCCCTTATTCTGAACTCTCAAGCCCCTTGCCCGGGGCGTTTGGCAAGGGTCTGAAACGGGTTTGAAGCCGGCATGGAAATGTATATTCAAAGGTCTGGGCGACTTCGGCCCAGAAAGGCCTCAACGAAGAATTGTAGACATTGCCAGTTGGTGGGGGAGTGAAGCTCGATCGCCCGAAAGCTGGATGTGTCCCTCAGACTTCGGCCCCAGCCCAGCAAACGGATCACTAAGGGCAACATGATTTTGTTATTTTGACCCGTGACGTCTCATAGTTATCCAGGGAATCCGTATAACTACCAAGGCCTTTGCCAGGGGTGTCTGAGAGGGGCTCTGAAGCGGGATTGAAGCCTGCCAAGTTTGACTTCGCACAGCATCCCGCCAATGGGCGAGGCGTGAGTTGGAGGGGAGGGTGCTTGAGCTCTCTGGCCCCAATTCTGAACTTTCAAGCCCCTTTCCCGGAGCGTCTGACAGGGCCTTGAAACGGGTTTGAAACCGGCATGGATATGTATACTCAGAGGTCTGAGCGACTTCGGCCCAGAAAGACCATCCCCCCATTAATTTTTGCAATCGGGGGGGGGCTTCTTGTGCAATTGCAGTTTCGATTTCTGTCGCTTTCGAGCTGGCTGGTTTTGAAGGCCAGCCCATCAGTATTGGCCCACCTGTCACAGATATGTTTTTCTCATCGGGGTTCGTTTTGGTAATTGTTGCGGTCCACTTGGGTGAGAATAATTGTCCCAGACAACCTTATTCCAGTCTTGTTAAAAATGACCACCCGTCCCTAATCATGGAGAATTCGAATGAATTCGAGGGGTTTGGGGAGCAGAAAGAGGTCTGGGCCAATTGTCGCAGGTGGCTGGCCGGACCTGTTGGCGGCTGGCAAGCGGACAAGTCTGGGGCGGGTTGCGTGCGCTTACGCCACGTCCCGCCCCAGATGCTCTTTTTTACGGGGCTGGATGGACAAAGGCTTATAGATTCCATTTCCACAGGCTGTTTCCGACCAGCAGTTTCATAGGTAGACAATATGCAACATATCCAATTTTTCGGCGGCGGGGGTCTGGATTTCTTAATTTAAGAAATGCCCGGCTTTCCAGAGGTCTGGATTTCTTAGTTCATAAAATTTCTTAACATAATGCCCGACCGTACCCAAAATGGCCCCGAGGTAAGTGGAGGACGCAAAGACCAACACATGCGAAACCCTGGCTCTTAAATTTTGAGCCACACCCATGCGGCAAATGAGCCAGGCCCCCTCAATGGCAAATGGTTTGTTCAGGGACCTCCCAATGGCTGTTTTGGGACCATTTGCCAGCCATTGGGGGCTGCTGTAAGAGTTGAAATATGTTTAAAGAAGGAGGTGACTAGCTGGTGGTTGGAAGGGGAGCCGTTTCGGAGCTGTGGATATCCTTTAGTTTGCTTGTGAATGGGGAGCCTTTCGGAGCTGTCCGTTTGGACATGGTTGAAGCCACGTTGCTATTTGGGGTTTGAGGTTGCCACTTGTGATACCAAGAGCATCCCCCTTGTGACACCGTGCTAAAGTGGTGACGGGGGCCTGCAACCCGAACTGCATTGCAGGGATTTGAGTTGGGCTGACTTAGCTAACCTTGCCCTTTGACCTGGGTTCCTTCAATCCCCATCAACCAGCGAGTATTCTTCGCAGGGTCAGATCTGTTGGACCAAGTATTTAGCCCTTCAACTCCCTGTTGCAGCCTTTCGGGCTTTAGCTACCTCTAAAGCCTTTTGCAAAGGTCTCCTCCAAGCTATTTGTTTTCCATGTCAGGGTAGACCAGCTACGGTGTCTTTTTTTCTTTTAGGGGGCTCCTCAAAATGGGCTTCGGTTTTTCCCTTTCCCTGTAAACCACTCAAAAACTCCAAACAAGGACAGATGAACCCGAGTCAGACCTCAGACCCCGAGCGGCCGGTCAGGAGATCACAGACGTGAGCGTCACCACGGATTCCTGGCCCGGCGCCCAAAGGCGCCCGATGCGCCTGCGGTTCGGAGCGGCAAATTCCGCCTTTGGGGATGCAGCGGTGGGGACACAAATGTGTGTGTTTTTTGGGTTATCGCTTTCTGTGACACCACTGGATTTTGAGTGATTCACACTAGTCATGGTTCGGAAGGACCCGTGGTATCACACAAAGGCAAAAAATCCACGACCATGTTGGGAGTATCTTCTGGGTGAATTATAATGACCTTACACGACCTCACCCCAAATGGTGGTTTATGTGGGGAATGGCCCCCCAACCATCTTATTTCAGGCTGGTGAAATATTGTAATTCACCCAGTATCTTGCCTGCGCGTGACTTAAGTTTCAAACCTCCGAGCCTGCTCGGAATCGAGGTCCGACCTCGGCGGCGTGCCGGGAGTCTTGCTCTTCCGGACGGAGGTGCGCCCGAACGTGCGGCTCCAGGCGGGGAAGTCCTTCAGTGCGTTCGCCGGGAGAGGAAAACGAAGCTATAAGGAGACCCAAACAAAGGAACATATTGAAAAGAGACCCAAAGGAAAGCCTGTTAGGGGAACATTAAGGAACATAGACCAACATGAAAGGGAACCCAGTGAGGAGACCCAAAACAAAAGGAGACCCAAAACAAAAGGAGACTCAAAGGAAGAGGAAGCCAAAAAGAAACCCTTTGCCGGCCTTCAGAGATCCTGCCGGCTGTCCAAGCGTTAGTGAAGGACTCAGCTAAGCACGAGAGGTTTGGTGGATGTCCCGTTTCTTGACGGCTCTGGGTTGCCAATTGATTGAAAGCGAGATTATGTTTGGTGGTTAGCGTTTATGGTGCGGTTGGACATATGGTTGGAACCCTGTTGTTGTTCATGTTCGGAGGTTGGTCAAGCACCTTGCCATGAACCCTAACTGAGGCTTCCTGAACCAACGGGCTAACCGAGGCTTTTGTAAGATGATACAGGGGAACTCTTTTTACGTATATGATACATGCACACCGTACACCATATGTACATCTTGAATGCATCATGCAGTACTACATATCGCATGAATATATATATATATACACATACAATGTATGTGTATGTATACATATGTATATATGTATATATATATAGTCACATCTACATGTATTGGTTGTTGATATCCTTTTTGAGGTTGTTTCAAAGATGAACGCAATAAGTACTCCCAACACCTCTCTGGAACCTGCCCAACAGCCCGAAGCCCATTGGCGGGCGGATTTGACCCATTTGCTAGCGAAAGACCCGAGAGACCCGCCCCCCCATTTTGAGAGCTCCCCTGGTCCAAACCCCCCGATCAGGATTTATGGTCGGGCCTTTAGAAGAAACTTTTGCTCTCCTCCATGTTTGTTATTTAACATAGATTAAATATGGAGCAGAGTCAACATCTACCCAAGATGTGGGCCAAGAAACCAATGTTCAGGTTACGTAGGCTTCATTGATGAATTAACTGGTTTGGGCATTTTGAACCCCTAACTCTTGTAGAGGGCTAATGGGAATCCCTCCCCGAATCTCCAAACCACCAATTCGGGAGGCTGGAATATAGACCATGCCAGTAGGTTCAAAGGTCAATCAAATTCGGATATCCCCACTTCTCATTTTATTCCCCGGAGGTCACGGTACCGCCGTGGAGCTTCATGGGCGCAGACACCCGACCAGGTGGGCAGATGGGGCACAGGTTCTTGTTTTTTTGCCTCAGGGATCTGAGGGTCCCAACACCCCGCGCATTTACCAAAAAAACCTTATTATACCTTACTTTCGCAATAAGCTGTTGTTTGTTTGTTGGCCTCCCAGCTTTGATCCATTAAGGTTCCCCAAGCTTCACCTTTTTGGATTCGGAGACTTGCAAGCCATAAATCAAAACCCACAGTTCTTCAGACTTTCTGGACCCTACCCACCCCAACCCTCCCTCCAAAAGGTTGGGTGGTCGCAAGCCTGACCAAAGCCCGATAAAGGAGGTGAGCTCATTGCAATTTGTCAAGTCCCAAAGTGGGATTCCCATGCCCGTGTCTATGACTTCCCGGGAGGGGATGTTCTTTGTATCAAGCAAAAAGTCGCCCTAAACACCCATGCTTCCACCATTGACTCCAAGGTTTCCCCGCAAAACGCCTGATGCTCCTGAGGGGATTGGGTGACTCTTGTTGGGACCCTTTTCAACAACTGCTCTAATTCTGGGCCAGACTTGGAGCCAAAACGCGAAACCTGTTTGCTGGTTGAAGAGTAAACTGAAAGAACGCAAGAAAGGCAAACAAATAAACTGTAAGCCAAGTCAAGCAACGACTCACCCCTTGTTCTCCGGGTGTGGGCTAACCTAAAGACATGTCCAGGGGCCTGGTGGTGAAACTTTTGAGATGTCATGTTATCCCCCTGAATCAAACCCAAAACCAGACTTCTTGAGGGCGGATGTACCTCTCATTTGCTCTTTGTGTTACTCTAAGGTATGGTCCTGATATATCGAGGTAAACGCTTCGAGGTAGGCAATACTACAGTGAGAAACTGGAAAGGTCCAGAAAGTAAAGAAAACCAAAAGCAACAAACAGCAACACAGGTTAGACTGAAGTCTAGAAATGTTAATGCTGGCCATTCTCCCCGTACTATCTTCAGACAGGCTTTTGTTTGTGGCTCCGGAGATGACGGACTATGGACAGTGGGCATAGGCAAAAAACACGGAGATCGATGTCGCACAAATCTGTGGAGGGAAGGCTTTGAGTATTGCCTTCCAGTTTTGATAGGCAGCCTGGCGGGCCCCCTGCAGCCCTACACCTTCTTGATTGACACGGGGCCAGACCCACGCGTGCCACCTATAAGGCGGGCATGGCGTTGGTTTGTTGGTTGTGCACGGGGCGAGGTGGCTTAACCCAAAAAGGGTGGTACAACTCATCAAAGGGCACCCAATGCCCTTTTCAGGCCCCAGACCCAACCCAAAGAAAAAGCCGGAAGTTTGACGAGTTTGTTTGGGTTCCTGCAAAGAAGGGAATGGGATGGGATATGATTAGGGACCATCGTTGCAGGAAATGAAGTGGGTTCGCCCATTTTCTCCGATCAAGTGTTTTGATTGCTGATGTTCGTGGAATCCCCTAACGTGCGAAAGTACATATACAAGCAGGTAACCTGTAAGGGGAATTTGTCCACTTTGGATCAGAAAGGTCCCCATTTCTGCGGTTGTTGACATGTTCCATTTAGAACAAGAACCACTCTTAGTACTTGGTAGCATTATCTCCAGATCAATCCGAAGTCCACAAGAGGATGAGAGAAGTGAATGGGGTCAGTGCATGTTGGAGATTGACGTTTCAGTCAGGATTTGTTCCTTACTAGGATCCGTGTTGAAATGATGTCACAATTCAAAGTTCACTGAATGTGAGAAGCATGCAGGAATCAGTCAATCAGAGTTCGCAGTGGCTTCCGATAGATCCGCAGTCCTGGTATTGCATCATCCATATTGGGTCCTTGGGTGGGGGTACATGATTTCCAAAGGGTTTTCAGGCATCCCTTTGAAACGATGTTTAGTCCCAAAAAGGCACGTTTTCCAGATGTCCGAAGCCATACATTATCATCATCATCAGCAGCAGCATCTTCCGGACCGGGGCACGGCTAGAAGGTTAGCCAGAGAGATGTTCCTGAACCTCCAATAGTGCCTTTAAAAAATGGACCTTACCCACAGTTTGAGCCACCCAAAAAACATATATGGGCCCGACTGCCAGTGAACTGCACTTGTTTCTTGTTGCGGAGAGGATGTCTCTTATCGAAAAAGCCAGGGAAATCCGCTGGTGCAGTGAGCTTGCCAGCTTCTGTGCACCCTTTTCGCAGAACGTCAGTTGAGCACTGTGTTCAAATGAGTCAGTCCAGGCTGCGTTCAAGAGGAGTTCCCCGTTTCAATTTTCGGCCCCTGGGCCCAGATTGCGAAGGGACTCTGTGTCTTGGTTCAGGACATCACAATGAGCTCACTATTCGCAGGCGAAACGAGCTCATGGTAAAGGTCCCTTGCTTGGGGATGCCTTGTTTCCGGTTGCTGAATTTCAACGAATCGCCCAGATATCCCTCGGCTCAGGCCCTTCATTCTGCCGGACGGACGTTTCCCCAGCAACCAGCAACGATATGTGCCTGCGAATACCAACATCACGCTCTACTTCAGCGATGAGGCAGGCCTTTCGCGCTGGTTTTTAGACTTGAATCCATGGAGTCCATGAAGCAGTCTATCAAGCAAATAGTCGAAAAACCGAAGATAGTCCGGCCGCCAACGGCGCATAAGCCATAGTGCCAAACAAGCCAGAGTTGGGTATCTGTCAAAGTAGGGAAACACCGACATGGTTGGTATCCTTTTGGTTTCCCTGCAAAGGCAACCAACAAGTAAAGGGGCTCCCCTCCACAAAGGCACCCAATTGTTATGCCAGAAGGAAAGAAGGCTTGAACATGTAGAAATCGAGTTGTAGAAGAGATCAAACCCAAACAACAAGTCATGCTCAGAACAGAATGTGTAATTGTTTAGCCCCTTCTAGCTTCGCACCCACGGAACAGGGACACAGGTCGATCGCTAAGGATCCAAACCACCCCATCAGATCCCCCTTAGTTCCAGAATCCGAATCCGCTTCGAGGAAGCTGACACAGTCCATGTCAAGACCTGTGAGTTGCAGCTTCTTGTTCACATAGTTTGGAGGATTGCTGACCCAACCTTAACGAAATGAGTGCAACAATCAGGTGACTACGGGTTTGTTTGGGATTAGTCAAGCTCCTTGATGGTTTGGTCACGCTAACCTGGTCCAAGTTCATCTCCAATCCAGGCTCCAGACATGGCGGGCTTCCAGTGCCTTCAAAGCATCAATGAACATAGGTGTCCTTTTTGGTTGTTTTGGTAGAAAAATAGATGGCCCTGGCTTGCCTGATAATTTAATAATCTACCAGGGCCATCTATTTCCCCTAGAAGGACACCTATGACCATGAATTGTGTTTTCTTGGACCATTAGGGTACCGCCTTTTGACATGGAACAATCCGCTGGAGGTCTGGTCTGTTGTTTGAGGATAAACGTTAGCTTTTATCCTTTGGGCCAAAGTGTTCCATTTTTTGAGGATTGACTCTTTTTTTTTATAGGTTGGACAGCTTCCAGGATCACCTGATCACAGTCTTGTTTCATCGTCAACTTTTTTGAGAGGTTTGTTTTGGCGCACTTGCGACGATCGAATCGGTGGAATGGGAGCGCCGTAGGTTCGTGCCGGTGCCGGCAACATCTCCTTCTGCATCAGTCTGGAGGAGGCAGCTCGTGGCTAATTGGCGGGTTGTGAACTCAGCAAATAAACATGCTGTGGGGCATTCCCTCAGTCAAGCTTTTTTGGGAGGGGGTCTTGACCGTAGCTTGAAAATATCATTTGATACAAGGGTACCGGTTTTTGGCCCCTGGCCCCACGGTCTGCGTCTTGCGCAAATCATGAGCTCACTGATTGGGGGTGAAATGAGCTCATGACACACGTATAGAGAGAGAGAGAGAGAAAGAGTGATCCCCTACTTAGGGATTCCTTTTTTGGTGTGTGTTTAATAGTACTCTGCCCTTGTCAAGCATTCATTTCGGATTAATCTGGAGCCCACGTATCAGAGAAATCCCACTTGATTTGCAGAATTGTCCAGAAGGGGAATCGCCCCTGAGCATCTAAACGGCCTTTAAGACCCTGTCCTTTTGCTCCATTTTTAGAGTATGTTTTGCGGTAGACTACAAGTGGCCTGAATCTGAAAATGGGTGTGTGCAAAAATAGGGGTGCCCCAAAATTCGTGGCTTTCCTGTTAGATCGCCCTTGCACCCCAGATTTAAAGTTATGGGCACCTGAGCTGCAAATCAGTTGACTTGTCTGCAAAAGCTCTGGTTTGGGGTTATTGGGCACCTAATTAATTATGCCTATCATAATGGGTTTTGTTCTGCCGGATCATGTTTGTGCAAATATGTTGTTATGGTTTTGAATCATCCTGTGAAGCAACAGGCAAGCACACACACACACACATTGGCCATCGGGCCCCAAAAACAGGGCTCGCCATATTCCCCCTTCCGTACCATTGAATGTTCAGCGAGTTTTCATTCGCTGGGGCGATGCTTGAAGGGGAACTGGGTCTCCTCCAAAACTGTTCTATAATCTAGTCAACATGTAGACTGTGTGCGCAGATGCGGGCCTGAGCGAGTGGGAGGACCAAGATGTAGACTGGGGAAGGCGTCGGTGACACCTGGGACTTGGCAGGAGTGGAGCGAGTCGCGCAAAGTGCGGGCGACATCGCAGGAGGCGGAACTGGTGGCATTGAAGCGCGAGTTCGAGCGCCTGAAGCCGGTGTGGCGTGGGTTGTTGCCTTCCGTGCTGAGATGGACTGGCCATGACACGGCTCAGCTGACAGCGGGGAGTTGAGCTGCCTGGACTTTGCAGCTTGTGCTGGCTGAGCTTAGTCTGACTTCAAGGAAGTCCAACGCGAACAGTCCTGCGCTGTTTCTACGTCTAGGTGCAAGGAAGGCGCTGGACAGCCAGATTTCGCATGGTTTGAAGGCGCTGCTGGCGAGGAGGTTTTTTGGTTTGTGAAAACGTCGGCTGAGATGCCGAAGGGAAGTATACACGGGCCAGGCTGCAGCTTGCTGCAGGTCGCTCCTTTTGCCCTCTCTCTCTCTCTCTATATATATATATGTATGAATACATATATATATATATATATTCGACACACATACGTACGCTCTCACACACACACACACATACACACGACATACAGTCATACAGACATATATATATATATATATATAGACAACTGTATATACAGACATTCAGACATACAGACATACACACATAGGTAATACATACTTGCTTATATACTTATGAATGTACATACATGTCTACCTACCAACTAGCCAGCTAGCTACCTACCCACCTACCCACCTACCCACATAAATGCAGCATCGATCGAGGACGCGAACACGAGCTGCGTCCTTGGCAGCTTTGCGGACGGCCACGTTGCCACTTTGGACGTCTCTCACGCGGAGGTGCAACGGCGGATCGTCACCTGGGCCTTGCCGCAGGCTCGCTTTGCGCTTTGCATGTGGGGATGTTTCGAGGTGCCCCATATGGGTATGGGTCAAAATTAAAGCACCAGGGGACCGCAGGTTTTGGTCCATGTTTCCACTTACCAGGGTTCCTTTTTGGGCACCTATTTTTGACCACAGCCATGTGCCTCAAAACTGGGATGCCTCCAAAATGACGCTTTCCTTTGGGCATAAAGAGGTTCCCAAACAAGAAGGCACATCCATAGTTTCCTTTGCGGCCGGTGCAATCATCACCTTTTGGCTTACGCTGTTGGAAGAGATTCCTCGCAGGGTAATATTCCGGGGGGATTATAGGGAGCCCTGGTTCCGAACCAAGGAACATGTGTGGCCAGAGTTGGTAGTTTTCTGCAAAGAGAGGTCCCTGGTCCAAAAAGATGGGTGGTTCCCAGGTTGTTTCCCTCGAGCCCCTATTTTGAAGCGCGGGGAGGCTTTCAACTCAAACCCAGTTGCATCATGTAAGACATGTTCCTTGGATCAGCTGGGCTTGGTTTGGAGGAGCTGCCCTTCTTTGGGAGGAAGCTAGGGGGAGGGCGGGGAGTTGAATCTTACTAGGTGCCCCAGTAGTGCTTTTACCCGTTGTTCCTACTAAAATCGACTACAGAAAAAGGGTACCCTTATTCTGTCCTCTCTAATAACCCTTGCTGGGGTTCCTAGCCCAACAAGGGCCACTCCATGCCTGTGGATTGGAAAGAACGTGGAAGTGCTGAGCAAAACGGCTGGCTTCAAGGGGTGTACCCCCCGTTGGCTGGGATTGAACGAGAAACCAAAGGGAGAACGAACATTTAGGGGAACCCCCCCCAAGCTAATTTCCATTAAGCCTCCCCCGGTGAGCCCTCAGAAGTGTTGAACCCATGTTGCGAGAACCCCAGTTCAATGAACTGACATCCCATGTTTCTTGAGGCTTGGCAACCCAGAAAGGGTAATTGCAACTGAAGTAATCAACTTGGCTTTAATTAGGAGAGTTTGTAAATATCCCAATGGTGTTTTTCGTCATAACGAGCAACTCATTTTGATTGGTCGCTAGCCTGCACCCTTGGAATCGCCCGAAAAGAACGGAAGGACCTTTGAGTCTATGAGCCTATACCCCGACACCTCGCTGATGAGCCCATGGAGTCTCCAAACAAGTTTACCTTTTAGGGTGGACCAAGTACGAAATATCGTCTGAGCTTATGGTTGTCTTTTTTGTATCCCAGTGGGCCAAGCAGGGCTGTACAGATTGTACACTAAGGCTCTTCCTGGGCAACATGAAACCTGGGAGCTGAGCTGGGCCAACGAATCATCCGATTTGACACCCAAAGGACCCAGCCCTCCATGACACCTCAGGGTGTTTTTGGTGCTGAGAATCAGCTATGTAAGAGACCCAAATCCCAGAGGATCCATTTGAGCTAATCAAAACCCGGTCAGTGAATACATGATTTTGGGTGGACCCCTGTAGTGCCAAGTTTTTATTCTGGCGCGTGTGGGAACCAAGTAAATCTGTGCGGGGCTGACATGACGGAGGACTTTGCTTTTGGGCAAGCGCTCCGCGTGGTGATGCCAGCCCCTGGACTGCATGCTTCAGAGCTGGCGCGTGAATCGGATTGTATACAAAACGAAGGACATCCACTAAACTCCAAGCGTCCCTTGCTACCCCATGACCCCTTAGCTACATCCTCAGAAGGCACTTGGACCATCTGGGCAAGGGTATTTGCAGGTGGGTTGCTTGGAGGTGTGGAGGTGGCGAATACAACGTTCATATTAGGGGATTAGTCAATGTGCCCCCACACCTCCGAGCAGCCCACCTTCTAACAGTGCACTTGATCCAGCTCGGGTCCCAACAAGCTTCCCGTGACACGTGCTCATGTTGTCTTCTTGAAAAGGTTTCTTGTAAACTGTAGACAATGTGTGGAGCGGTCGAACGAGCCCAGTCCATTTCGCCTCTGCGGGTTGCTACATACTTGTTTAAAGCATCGATCATGCAGATGGAGGAAGCTGCCAGAAGGTATGAGAAAATGGTCCATACCACGGCAACACCTTTTGGGTGTCTTCCTCACTTCTTTATGTACTTTTTGGGCGGACCATTTGAGTAAGCAACAAGTTCTGAGCGATCCACAGAAGTGAGCAACTGTGTGCGTGTGTTTCTTGATTGGAAGGGTGGTTGGCAAAAGCTACCGTGGGCTCCGCTTGGATGAAACGAGCTATGGTCCTGTGCCAGGGGTCCCTTAGTTTCGGGTCAGAAACACCGCCAGTTCGCGTGGATCCTCAAAAAGCTGTCCCCCCAAGCCGAGACTCAAACAAATACAAGCAACTCCCCCTCACTTTCTGTTCAGAGCAACCTGGCGCTTTTGGGCTGTAGTCCGCCAGAGCAAAAACGTTTGAACGAGGTGCAGGGAGACGTTTGAAAGGGAGCTTTGGGCGGGATTTGGGTGACCCTTTAAATGGGTTCGAGCCCAAAACGGTTTTCTTCGGATGCTACACACATGTTTGTCCTTTGGTGCAAGCCGTCGGAGCCCATTTGTTAGAACCCGTTTAGGAGGCGTTTGAGAGGGAGCTTTGGACGGGGATGATGGAAGCATTTCCGCACTTTTTATCCATCTTCACTCCGAACACTTTCTGAAAGGGGTCTCAAACGGGACCTGATTGCGTGCCAAAAAAACGGAATCCGTGGAACGAACCATTGGATGAGCCGCCAAATAGTTTGCCACCTGGGTCACTCACTTGCATCACAACACGCCCAGCTCCATTTGGGGGACTTTTGAGTGGGTACCGAAGACCCAAGCTTGAAGTCCTCAAAAGTATTTTATGTTTTAGGATAGGCTGAAAACACGAAACAACACATTTAAGCATCATATTGTATGACTACCTCAGACGTGGGCCAAGAAGTAGGGCTGACCAGAGTCGGAGTTTGACGTCCAACGTGAACTCAGGAGGGCCTTTTTGTGTCCGCAAACACAGAGATGACCATGGAAGAGTATACCGGATACAGCACCTTGGACGGGATTTGGTGGCCCCAGAATATTAATATGCGACCCTCACTTCCCGAGTTCTGGACTTTAAGCTTGGGGAAAAAGTTCGGAGTCGTTGGCAAATCCGCTCAGGAAGTGAGATCCTAAGGATGCCTATATATATATGGTAGGCCCCCCTTCCAATACCAAGGGTTTTTCTTGCTTGAACATGCACGTGTTGCAGGTTTTTTGGCATAGATAGCCTTTTGTTTGAGGAAAACCTGGAGTTGATGCCAACGATGAGAACATGTGTTTGATATTTGTGATGATACATGTACATCTTGCGAGGACACCTGCAATCAGGATGGGGGGGGACTGCAAATATCATTAGACAAGTATAATATATATATATATATATATATTGTACCCCCCCCAAACCCGCGCCCAGGAGAATTTAACGATGTTTACAGTATTTTTGGGTGATTTCCTGTGCCCACGTCTGCACATTTGACTGTGGCTAAGATTCAAGATTCCCAGGACTGTAAAGCGCTTTAGAGCGCGTTGAAACGTTTTGGGTGGCCCCAGACTGCGAATCCTGAAACTTGAACCTTAAATCCAACAGTGCTTTAAAGCGCTTTTAAGTGTTTTGGGTCTCCAGCATACGTGAATATGGACACATTTTAACATTGAGAGTATGGCAGAACATCACTGTGAAAGAGACCCTGTGTATTTTTCATGTTGTCTAACTTCGCTCTTACACTTTACCTAGCTTTGCTATTGATGTTATGTTACAAATGAGCTTGCGTTGAAACTGTTGTAGTTTATGACCAACATATGTATGAATTTTGCTTGAACAAGGATCGAGAGGAGGACTGGCAAAGACAACCTGCAAGAAAGTATGTCTGGCTCTTTGTATAGCAAGCAAAGTCTTGGGACCCCTCAACCACTTTGCCAAACAACTCACTTCCCTCGTAGCTGCATTTTAGCCTTCCTTTGAATCGAGCTCACAGGTCTGGGGGACAAGCCGAGGCTGTTGAAGGACACTTGGGGATTGCTTAATTCCAGTTGGTTTATAGTAATTTGCCTTGTACGTATTTGACTTTGTGTGCATAGGTATGTGTAATATGTGAATCTAATACCATCGTGTGTGTGTGTGGCACCTTTGGGTCCCAGGTGTCCCTAGGGTTCTTGTTGGGACTGCTTGGGGGCGATGGCCGGTGAAGAATCCCGGGAGGTGTCTCCTCGTATCAGTTTGGATCGGAACTTGCTTTGCGAAAGTATGGGTCTCCATGGTACTTAGCGGCTTGTACTCAGCCCTCTACTCTCTCACGCAACATTTGTACCCAGCCATCGCTGGCAGATGGTAAGAGTGAGTGAAGGGAGAAGGACAGTGACAGGTCTCCGGTTCTTTCTCTCCCTTGACCGTGTCAACGAGAGCTTGTCCAAGAGCGAGTTTAGGGGTTGACATCATATGCCAGACCAAGTGGACACTTGTAGGGGCTGGGTATGGAGGGTTGGTACTCCTGAGTGTTGAAACATCTTCAAGCCATTGGATTCAAAGCCCTTGTTGGCGCAAATCAACCAAAGGTTTACCCAGGTTTCCAAGGTTAACGCAGGATCTTCCGAAACAAAGTCCAGGTTTACCCAGGTTTCCCCTTTGGGTCTCCCCTTTAAAGTAGCCGGGGACCTGGTTTTTCCCGAGGCTTTTCGATCCAGGAGGGCGACATAGTGCCGCCTCGCATCATTGCGGTGGAACCCACAGCCGCTTGGTGCTTTTGGGTAACTTGGGAATCCGGAGGAAGATACCTGGGGTCTCCTCCTCCGAAATATTTGTTGTTTTTAGGTTTGATCATATCGGGTTGATCAATATTCCTGGCCCCCAAATGTCCATGGGCAATGTTTCCCATTTCATGGTGAAAGCCATCCTTTTTAGTGGTTTCCCTAATGGTGACCTTTTGGTCAACCCCCTACATACGAAAGATAATCCGAACAGATTATATTCTGTGTACCCCAGATGCGACGGTCAGGTTGCGTGGTAAGAAATTCCCTGGATCGCCATGCTGCTGCTTGTTTGCAGACACTTTAGCTACAAAACCTATCACAGCTGTTGGGAAACGAATCTTGATTTTCTTAAGAATCTCTCAAGTGTGCAAATTCCACATTGGAGTTACGAGATCAAGAGGTTGTCCGAGACTCTTGGACCTTGGAGGCAATCTGTGTTTGTTCCCAAATATGAAACTGCCCGGGAGAAAGGTACCGTTCTCGCTACGTTAGACTCCTTGAGCTCATGCTCGGATTTTGCAAGAAGGGTGCCCAACAAACAGGACACGGGGGTCCCCTTTCAAGCGACTCCAGCGGGTGTGTGCATGATTTCCGGGACCAGCGTGCTAACCATCGGCTTGGAACTCTTTGCCATTTTGATTTTGCGGGTTTTTGGTTCCGCTGAACCAGCAACAGGTTGGCTTGTTGCAGGTCGGAGCAGTGTGGCCATCAGGCAACTAGTTTGTGACCTGATGGCAAATGGACTGGCTTGAACCACAAAAAGGCATGGCTGAACCCATGGGGATGTTGAAGCAATAGCATGGTTGCAGAAAATCGGTAGATTGCATCTTCGATACCAAGGGCATAGATTTAGGATTGACTGAGGTTGGGCTTCGCCCCGGAAGATCCATCTAGGTCCCCCAGTAGTGCCCTTTCACCCTTTTTTGGGGGAGGGTTCCCCTACTTAAATACACTACAGAAAAAAGAAGTTGCTACCCTTATTCGAACCTCTCTACTGGAGGACTTGGCCATTCGATTTCTATCCCCAACCGCCCCTCTTTCGCCTCCCGGCCTCCCGGCGGTTTCCGGGGCGGCGGTTTCCGGCGGTTTGAGCGGCACGAGGCGCGCCCGGACGGCCTGGTGAAGCTGATCTTCTCCGAGGCGGTGCTCTTCGAGGGCGCGTTCGGGCGCCAAGGTGCCCCGTCGGAGTCGTCGCTTCATTCGACGGAACGGGGGCCAAGGGAACGGGTCCCTGTGATTGGTGGCTCCCAGCCATTCATCCGGCTCCTTTGCTTTTTAGCCTTTTACTGTTTAGTGGGGATGTCCATTTAACCGACTAAAAGTTAAGCTTTTAGCGGGGGATCTGAGGACAGCCTGTGTTTTTGCGGAGGGTGCCCGTAAATATATCTGGGGTGCAAATCCCTTTGACAGAACACCAACCCCAAGGGGTTGGCCAGATGTTTGGCTGTTGGCTGGTCGTATTTGGTCTTTGACCTGATCGATCCCCCGGCTAGAATTGGCCTCATTAGGCCTTATGTGGATTATAAATATACATACATATATATATATATATATACTCTACTCTTAACCCCTTGGGGATCTTTGGGGCGCCGGAGAGGGGGGGGGGTTAGACATCATTTAAGCTCATGAAGCAACATGATCTAATACTGAGCAATATAATGAAATCATATGTGTACTTTGATTTTTCATGGCATCCCCACGCTGAGATTGTGCGTGCACGTTCTTCTCATCAAGCAGGTATGACGTTTTCTTAGCAGATTGGCAAGCTTCATTGACTTGAGCATCCACGCGTCGATTCCATGTATATGTCATAGTATATGTTCCACCATGCTGTCGATTGCTCAGACAAATGCAAGTAAGCCAACAATCCACGTTGAGCAGAGTTGTTATCGCGATGTATTTGCTTAGTCGTCGGGGAAATTATCTTTATGCCGCGGAGGCACCGTGTAGTACCGTGTAGCCAATTCTGATGGAGGAAGCCATGGCGTAGGCAGGTTGCGTAGGCAGGTGTGCGTAGGCATCTTTAGGCACCCTCCCTTCTGCTTAACACCCGCGGAGGCTCCACGGAGGCAAGGCCAGTGATTCACACACCCAACAAAGAAGGGATAAAGAGGACATCTTCCATCATTGCGCACAGCTTGCTCTTTCGGGTCAATGCCACCATATTTCATGGTTGCATGTTACGAAACCCTGTTTGGCAACGGCCTCCATGTTTGCCTTGTACTCAAGAGCAATTGGCTATGCATCCTTTTGGGACTAAACTATTCGCCTTCAGGGTTGGCTCTCAAAGGTTCTGACATTCCGGACGCTGTGCTAGGATCGCTGGCTTTGGAGGAAGAATCATCTCAGGCGGGAGAAGCTGGGAGTCTGGCGGGTGCTTCCAGTGTCTTCCAATGCCACACTGGTTTTGGTTTCCTGGTTTCCTCCACTGAAGAGATTTCACGGCGCCCGTTTCACAGAGGGAGGGCCCCTTTTCACAGCAAAGACTCTCAACCCGTGTTCTTTTAGTGTACTAAAACTGCCGCACAGAAATTCCCCCGCCATCGTAAATTCCCAAGTGTGCCCGCTGGCTTTCCGAGAGGAAAACGGTCTTTGAAAAGAGGCTGTGCACTTCCACGTTTGTCAGTGAGAGGGTCACCATTTAGAGAACAGGCCTACGACTCCGAGCCCCCTCCACCGAACGGTGTCCAAAGGAGGACATAGGTAGGAAGCACGCCGAGGCCATGGACACAATGCCAGCACTGTCCATTTATGTTGCAACAACCAAGGCAGGCAATTTGGCTCCAAATTCTTCTATGCAACCCACCTCCCCGTGTTTGCCACCAAGCTGTCAAGCAAAGGGAGTTGGTTAGGATGTTTCCTTGTAGCGTCCCTCTACAGATTGGGATCTGGACAAATCCTGTCAAGCTCACCGATGCAGAGGCAAGACAAGCTCAACCATGCTGAAGGTCCCTTTACATCTGGTTTGGGAATGATAGCTTGCCCAGAATGGTGTTCACTTCGATTTTTTCCGGACCATGCAAATCAGAGGAGTCCCTTCCCCAATCGGAGTTTTCTCAAGGGGAACCCCCTTCCTAGGCTTGTCGCCGGTCGGGAAAGTCAGACACTGGAGTTCGTTTCCTTTACCGCCCAAAACGACAGAACTATGTTTGGAAGATGGCGCTCAATCAGCAACTAAAAATCAATCAACAACTAAGACAACAATCAACAACTCTTTTTTAATTAAACAAATAAAATGTTTGACAACAGTAGAATCATCGGCCAGTAAAATGGGATTTTCTCCCATTTTGGACTCCGAGGCGATGGTGCGCTTCGATGCCACTGTGGAGGGAGCTGTGGTGAAGCTTCATGGGCCCTTCAAGACAGGCCCGCTGTTGGCCGCGGCCTGCGCTGGGCCCGCTGGGGCGGGCCAGACGTCGCTTCACTCGTGCCATGTGCTTGGCTTGTGGTGATTTTTCTTAAAGGTGTCGGGCTCTTGTCATCTTTGGGCTGGAACAAAGCAGTTGATGTTGTTTGCTCAAATGCCAAGGGTTGGACAAAGTCATAATTGAAATCATCTTTCAGAGAAGGTTGCAGCGGGCCCAGGTGCCCAGGAGTTAGGTGGGGTGGGTACTACACTCACTTTCCTGGGAAGACATTCAACCCCCCCCCCCCACCCAGCAGACACACCCTTCTAAGAGCCCCTCTTGGCGTTCCACTCTCTACGGATATGGACAGTCCCGTCGTTCAACGAGGTCAGTCGCTTGCTTCAACCGGTTGGACGCTTCCAAAAGCGGCAGCTGTTTTTTTTTTGTTTTTTCCGCGGGTGGAGTAGTGACTGGCCACCGGCTAGGAGTGTGGGGCAAATTAGACGGCGACCTCACACAGGTTTCTTTCGACTCTTCATTTCAAGGCTCATTCCTTGGGGTTGGGATAATTTGTTTGCCCTGCGCGAAATTGGAGGTCCCCCTATTTTGACACACACCTAAACACACACAACAGGGAGCCTTAGGATAGTTGCTTCTTCGTTGTCTTCAAGAACTGGACATGGCCGGCCGCTTCAGCAAGGAACCCTACTGGGCGACGCAGTGAGCGCGGGGCGGTGACATTTGTTTCGGGTGACCTAGGGAGCCTTGCTGGTTCGATAGGCAAGATAATGACCTCAAACTGTCTGAAACCGCTGTGGCTAGAAACGTGCGTGAGATGTGGGTGTGTCTTCTTTTGAGGGACTTTGTTTGATGGTCTTAAAAGCAAAAGGAAAACCACCATTTTGAGGGGCCCCATGCCCAAATGTGGAGATTTGGGACCCCAACCACAGGCTTTAGTTGGTTCCAAAAAGGGGCTCAGGTGTCCCATTCGACACATTTCGAGACACGCCCTTGACTCTGTTGCTTCCTTTTCTTTGCCTTTACAGTACACCCGGGCCACAAAAGCATTGCCAGACTGGAGGCTTTTGCCCGTTTGACCTTCTAGGTTTCCATCATTTTCCCCGTGCCAGCAAAAGCAAGCACTTGTCAGGGGGTCGCATCCGTCTGGCCGGAAGGCCATGGCTTCTGGGGCTTTGGGTTCTCAAGTGTGCCTATTTTGGGCCTCAACATCTATTGATCGAACAATAAGGGCCTCTCACACCGATGCCGAGTTTGCTTACCTCAGATTCCAAGCTTCAAACTTTGCATCAGGTTTCGTCACTTGATCCAGGGCAACAGTTTGGTCTAAACGCCTCGGGTGACGCATTCTTGGCGTCAGGCGAAAGCTACAGGCTGCGGCAGACCGCTGAACTCATGGACTTGGTGGGGAATCGCGCGCCTAAGCCAAGCTATTGGTATCTTCTCTTTGGCTAAAGGGATCCCTCACCAGCACCTTCCAAGAATGGTCCATTTGTACCCGAACGCCCTTTCTTGACTCCTGTTGGGTTGGATCTTGAACCTTTAACCCTAGGCGAATTTGTTGGGGAGAAGTGAGGAATCGCCATCGAGCTTTGGGCGATTGTGCGTAATCGGGCCTTGGGTCCAAGCAGCGGAGCCTACCTGTAGAACCCGCCGGTGCCGCTTTGGCAACTCTGGAGTTTGTATGGGCAAAGTTTGTTTCCACAGCCACACCGGTTTGGGCCCAAGGGCAACCAGACTGAGGTTGGTTAAACACCTGGTGGGGTTTAGCCATAACATGGTCTTGGCCCGACGCTTCGCTCTTCCGTGCTTACGGTGGGTGCTAAATAGAAGGCCGCGCCCGAAGCCGATTCCCATTGGCAATCAAAGGAAGCGGGTTCTATTGCCTGTACTTGCTTTGACAATCAGTATTCGTAAGGCCTATATACACAGTTATGCCCATCTTGGAAGACGCAAGTTAGTTGTCAGGCGTTGCTCAAGCGTAATTCGTTCTATCAAGAAACTCAAAGGGATGTGTGATTGTGTTGGATGTGTCTAGAGCCTAGCGAACACCAGGGCTGATTCGGTCCCTTGAGCCCTGGTTTCAAGGGACCTGCTCATGACACGGTATGCTTACAGTGATCGCTTGCTTTGCCCTGGTTTTACAGGCACCTCTTTCCCAAGGCTCACAGGGCCTCTTTACAGGCCCCTCATGCTTCGGGGGCAAGTTTTGCGAGGTTTTACTTGGTTTATGAATTTGGCTCTGTGACCATTCCCATTCCCAGCATCAATTGAGTTCCCTTAGCATTCAGAAAGGAGGGCCCCCTTCTTGAAACACCAGTAGTTTCATGCAGATCAACCTGGAACCCAATAAGTAGTTGTACTTGAAGGCATCTGCTTTCGGGGAGCTCCTTCTTGGGTTCCTAAGTCATTTTGCGGAGTATTGCTGCCGGTTTGATCTTGGCTTCTATGCACGGCTGGACTGAAAGTGTTTTGATGTGCCCTGGGTGCTTCCTGGGCACTGAACATTCTAATACGAACCCACGTCAAGGTCCCCTTTAAAGCAAAGTGGGTGTTTCTTCGGGTAACTGCAGGTGTCTTTTTGCTTTTCCCTGAAAACTATGCGAACAGGGAACTCATTTTTAAAAACACCCCAAACAAGTCTTCCAGGAAGCGTCCATCAGGTTCAACAAGTCGCAAGCTTCCAAAGCTTGCGAGCTGGTAACAGCCTCCCCATAAATTCGATGAACTACCTCCTTGTGTTGTGCCCACAAAAGCTGCTCCTCCCATTGAATTCAGCATTCTGTACCTCCCTCTAACGTAGAAGCTGCCAGAAAGTCGTCGAAACATAGGACACTGGTCTTCCAGCAACCTATCAGGTTCGATGGCTTTGGACCCACTGTTTCCTGGACGATTCAAATGCGTTTTGAAGACCACTTGAGTGGTAAACTAAACGTTTGTGCTACGTACTTTTAAGCCAATCCACCGGAGTTTCGATTCAGAGCACGAAACTCAGAGCATGGGGTCCGGATAAGGCCATCACCGTGCCTGTGGAGCCGGACGGTTTCAGCATCAGCGAGGACGTGCGCGGCGATTTGGCCAAAGAACTGTCATGGATCGCTCGGGGAACTTAGAAACCCAGAAAAGGTTGGCTCGTCTTTTTGAAGTTGGACTCCGTTTGTTTTTTGGGGGGTCCCCTAAAAGAAGGACAACCCCATGGCGAAGACCTTCAATGATTTCTGCACAGATAGGTCCCCAGACCTTTCCGACAAAGCATGATCCAAGCTTTTTGGGAAAACTAAAAGTTGTCCAAGGAACGAAGCGTCCAGCCCTAAAGCGCCACTCAAATTCACATATTCATTCACATGCAGCCCTAAGAAGGGGATGTTGCAAGCAAGCAAACAGTCGAGCTTGTTGGGGTCAAACATCCATCGCTAAAATGGGGCCCAATGTGTTACCCGATATTGACCGTTGATCTTCTTCATGAACTCACTTGACCAAAAGCCGGCCTTTCGATGTTTTTTCAACTGTTGATCCATTTCTGGTCATGGCCCCAAAAGGCCAACCTTATATTTCTGGGTCCCTGGGGCAACTGAGAGAAGGAGTGCTTGCCCTAGGCCCTGAGGCACGCTTGCCGATGCTGCGGGAGGTGCACATGCACGATACCTTCTTCATAGAGCGGCTTCGGCGAAACTTTGCCTGTGGTTTTGTCACGTTGTTTCATGGGTCAGGTAGCCCTTAGTTGGTGGTTTGGATTGGTGACGGGATTTGAACCCCTGGTTCTTCTTGAGCGGAAATTAAAAGCTCCCCCTAGCCTCAAAAACACCAATCCCAACCAGCAATGAGGGGCAAGCTGAATGGGCGTGTGTGTGTGTGTCAAAACAAGGGAAACCAGGAGTTCTGGGTTTTCCCTTTGATTTCCGTTTAGAACCACCTCAAAAAGGTACCCTCAAAGAAAGACTCGCAGTCTGCCTTTACAGCGCAGATTCACCGATTCGGGGGGTCAAACGGGCGAAAAACCAAAACATGTTTACTTGGACACCGAATTCTTATTTTTGGTATCCTCTTAGTGTCAAATCGCTTGGTCGGTGAGATTCAATTCGTTTTCTATTGCCATTGGGGAACTGGATTTAGGACTCCTTTCTGAGGTGATATGTATGAATCCGCAATATTATTGCGCCGTCATGGTTTTAATCCGTGGTGTCCCACGGATTACGCATGAAATTTGGGATCCCATATTGTTTTCAACCCAGCCGCTGGTTTCTGTTTGATGGGTCCCTTTGGCATCTTTTTTTGGTGGACCCACACATGGTGTTTTTCCTGTTTGTTGTTCTTTAAACCCACCAAACAAAGGAGTACTCTCAAAAAGGACACCCAAATGCCGTCAACCCCCAAAAGGCTTCCAATTTCTGTTCTGCCTTCCGGGTCACTGGCCTCTTATTTGGGTGCGTTCGCAGGACACCTGGACCTCAAAGGGTTGTGACCAAATGGCCCATTTTGGTCGGATGCTGTGGGGTAGAGGAAACCAGCAAAGAGCGCTACAGGCTTCTCCTGCGCCTATCCCAGCCTCTACCCTCATCGACGCCTGACCCTGAGGGTCCCAATGAAGCGGCTCCGAGGTTCGACGAGGCCGTGGTGCCGTCCAGCACCTTGCGCCTGGTGTCGAAGCCTCCGGTCTCCTGCGGCCCGGCGTGCGGCAGGATGCGACATGGGTTCGTCCGAGGCTTCAGGTGCATTTCTGGGAGAAACGCACAACTGGTTTTCCATGGCAGCCATCTCCCTTGTTCCGCCGGCGTTGACATCGTACCCTGCAAAACATGGGTATTTGAACCATAAGGGCATACCGGGGGTCGCAGGCAGTGCTAAACAGGTCTAACACAGAAACTTCAATCGGAGGCCTCAGAACTGGAGACCTAAAAAGATAAGTGTTGGCTGCCGTTGGTGTGTTTTTTCTCTCTTTTTTGGCGCTCTGGCTGCGGTCTAAGAAATTTGGCTTCGGAAGATGACTTTTCGTGCATGGGCACCCCCGAATTGCGCCACCCCTTGATCGCCCACAAGGCTCCCAGGCTTCTCCCCACTCTTCCTCCGTTCTTCTGTCCAGTCTTCGCTGCACCCTTTGCTCCGCCGTTGGCTCCGCTCTTCCCTCCATTTTGTTCCGCGCTCTTAAAACTTCTCTAATTGCAGTCTGCTGTGTTCGCAAAATGCATGGTTCCTTGAAATCGCTTTTTGCCCGGAGGACGCAGGGCTGCTCGAGTGCATTGGTTGTTCTTTAGTCTCGTGAAGTTCCTCACCTGTCAACCCCTAAAAGTGAGCCGGAGTCGCTGGGCCCTGCCGGACTGGAGTTAGTGGCATCTTGTCATGGTTGTTGTTGGGAAACATTTTGCATTTTTGCTTGTTGTGGTTTAGGAAATCCCCACTTTACTGCTAAAATTTAGTTTTTTGCTCCCCTTCCAACGTCAACAAAGCTGTGAACCTGCCATTTTCTGTGGAATACCCTCGCAACTGGGCTTGCTTGCCATGTAGCGATCACCCCCTTGCCCATGGAGCCTTGCAGTTGCGCAACTTGCAAGCAACTCTAGCTTTCACATTGACTGTCGTTTCAACAATTGCGCGACCAAGCCTCAGAACCCTTGGTGTCCATCACTTTATTGGCCCCCAATTAGCAACCTCCACTTAGTCCCCCCACCCCAGTTTCCCCTTGGAAACCCTTGCACTAGGCTTACCATTTAGGAGCCTTCCAGGAGCCTTAGGTCCTTCCAGGACTTCTTTGCACGGACCAAGCGCTTCCGGCTTCTTTGGGTCTGTCTCTTTCTGAGGTTGCTCCTTTTGCGTGTTGCTAAAGGGCCACCAAACAGAACACCGTTCTGCCATTTTGGGGGCCCCCCCAAAAAAGACACACTTTTACGGCTCGAACGGCATCGACCCGGTGCCTCAGGAGCCAGGTCCTGCTGGAGGCTTCTGCGGCGCAGCTGCCCACCGCCACCTTCGAGCGCTTGGGCCGAAGGATCAGCCTGGTGCAGGCCAGTCGATCGACGATCCATCGCGAGAGGCGGTTGGGTGTGGTACACGTCTAGGTCCCCCAGCTAGGTGCCCTTTTAAAGTTTATCTTTTGGATGGGAGGGTTTCTAAGATAGACTACAGACTACAGAAAAAAGGGTAGCCTTATTCTAACCTCTCTACTGGAGGACCTAGACTTCCTTTGTTGGGACCAGAATTTGGACATCTGTAGGAGTGTTTGTTTTGAACACTCTTGCGAGAAGTTGTTTGGCATGACCCAACGGGTAGCTCCTGGACGTGCTTGTTTCCGCCCCTGGTCCTGAAATGTTAGTTTGTTCGCTCAGCTTCTGCTGGTTCAAACTCTGGCCGTTGATCGGCGCGTATAAAAAAGGTAGCGGTATCGAGTAGTTCCAAACAATGTTCGATGCAAACATGGTTAACCCTTTCCGAATGGTGTGTCCTGCAAGCGGGGCCACTTGCACGCCGAACCCGTATTCTGTCACGCTATATGATATTGCCCAATAACGGTTGATCAGTGGCTGCTAAAGGAAGCAGCCCAAGTCGAAGTAGCCCTCGCTCCCCGAGTTCACGGACTTTATCTGAGTTGGGGTTACCTTCTTGTTTGTATTTCCTGTCGCCAAACAACAGTTTGGACATGTTTTTGCCAATCCACTTGGAAGTGAGAACCAGAGGGGGCTACATATGTGTCAAAGATCGGGTGACCAATGGTGGTTTCCCTCTTGGTTTCCCTTTCAACCAAGGAAAAAGGGCAAACTCAAAAAACCCACCCCTAGGGGCCCTTAAATATGAGGGCCTTGAACCCCCAAAGGCCTCAAAGGAGGTCTTGGGCTCCCGCATCGATGGATGTTGTCGCGAGGTGGAGCCCCCCGAGCCCTTACTGCCAGGTGCGGCGCGGGATTCGTTTGAAGCCCTAGCATCATTGGGGCCTGGGGGTGTCTTTAGGAGGGGTCTATGCCAGGAGGCCAGGATAAGACTTATTAAGGGGTTAGTGAGGCCATGGAGCCCCGCGATAGACCCCCCTTAGCATTCCTTGATAACAGTACATCAAGAGAAACAATTCTGCCAGTTTGATGGCCAGCTCACCGAGCTCACCATGTAGGTCCTTATAGGTCCTTTGCTTGGGGATCCAATTCATAGCTGTTCGAATACTTGTAGGGTTGGTAGACAGTTGCCATAGAGGACCCTCAAATCGCTATCGACTGGCGCAATTTCCTTGGCCCCAAGGTCAGCCGTCCCTCGGAGGGTTGGGGTCCAAAGGTCCTGGGCAAAATATGGGGGACCTCGGGTTCCCCATACCACCTCTTTCCGGGGGCCCAAACTTCATCGGGACACTTCAGGGGAAACCGATCTGATAGGTCAAACGTGATGTCCACATCTTGGATTCCCATGTCAGCCTGAGAGGTGATGGCATGTTGTGTCCAGATCTGTGGGTGTCGAGTCAGTGTTCGCGCCATTGTTGAAAAGCAATGGTATCTAAATCTGGTATCGCTTTGCCCCAGAAGATGGACGTAGCTTCTGGTCTTAAAACAGGGGAGGCCTTGGTTAGGTGGTAAAGTGTTTGCACCATAGTGAAGAACCATCAATGTCTACACAAAGGTATGATAATCAGCCCATGCAGCACGGCAACGGTTTTTTTTCCGCCCACTGTGCCTATTTTGAGACCGGGTTCAGCTAGACGTCACTGCCTGAGGGCTTGACAATGCTTGGTAAATAGCATTGTCAAGCATACAATAGATGGTTTGATGCGCAATTTTCTTCATTCAGTCTTCCGGGGTTTGTCCGTTTTAGTGCCTTTCTGGAAAGGCTTCATGGAAGGAATGGCGAAGCTACCCCACCATGCAAGCAACGTGCAACGATGTTCGGCGCTAGTTAGCAAGGGCGCAGTACATACTGTGTGTCATTCCTTTCCACTGGGGTCAGGTCAGTTGACAGCCCGGTCGGCATTTCGCGGGACCTCGTTAACCTTGTAGAGTACGCACATCACGACTGTGTGCCGAGTACGCGAACAAGCAAACAACAGAGCCAACTTGCTGGTGCTCAGTTGAACCTGGGGATTCTCTGATTGGAAACCATGTTTTGTTTTGTGGGGGTTGGTCCCTCATTCCCTACCGAGAACCAGCCAGCCAATTCAGCAGGCTGCAAGCCAAAGACCTCGCCTGGCTCGGCCAGGTGTGGAGTACGAGCTCACAGTGCCCGCTTCCTTTGTGGAGGACGCCGCACCTGGGCAACGCTTCGAGTTTGGATCCGTGCCTTCCAGAGGACCGAGTTGGTTATAACAGTCTACAGAACCTGTGGGTGTGTTAGGTTCTGCGGGTGAACCTTCTTTCACACCTTATGACGGATTCTTTCGTAGGGAAAGCTTGTTTCGGGTCGTCCACGTTGCTCAGCACCCTGAACGTGTGTTTGGCCGTTTCTTTTGGAGCCTCTCCAAACTGCTAACCCTGGACTGGGTTTTAGACACTTTGGCTGGCTGAAAGCAAACAGGGACGTCCCTTAAGCGGCCGGGTCTTGAAAAGCTGAAAGTGGCCGTCTCTTGAGGTGGAACACACTCAAACAACATGCCTGGGTTTCTCTGATCAAACCGGGGATCTCGCGGGAAGGTGCCCTACCTCCAAACCACCAAGCCACAGTTTGCGACCGGGAGAGCACACTGGGAGAAAAATCAGGGCAGAAATAAGCGGAAGCGCATAAAACACATGTGTGAGTGCTTGGAGCTACCTTCTGCGCTGAGGATACACCGTACAGAACAAAACATGTAACCCCTCTCATGGAACCTGACTGGGGTTCCATGGCATGGACGAGTTCCGTTGGCTTCCAGCACAGCCAACGAACGTCTTGATTTCCCAACCCCAAGGGCTCCCTATGCTTGTCAATAGGGAACCACCTCCAAAGTGGTTGGTGGACATGAATCCCCGCCGTAGATGATGTTCACCAAAGGATCCATCACCCAAACAGATATTGGACACCAATGTGTCCTTTGTACCCTCCGGCACTGTTTTGTATTTGATGGACGTAGACTAATCATGAAACAGAATCTGAACACATCCTCTTGCTGGTGCTTGGGGAATGAGGGAATGAACCCAGGGGTTACAGGAAACGAACCCACCAGTTGGATGGTTTTTCTTGGTCAGACTCCAGTTCTCATTCCCTGCCGATTTCGCACCGATCGGAAGTTCTCTACCCCTTCTCCCGGGCCTCGGGAGCTCGGCATTGGATGCGCTGAGGTGGGCAACCCTTCGGCGCACACCTCGATGCAGAGCTACTTGGTGCGGCTCACGCGGGACCTGACGCCGCCCAAGTTGATGGCCGTGACTCTGGATGGCCCGGGGCACAGACGTGTCTTATGTGTCTTTTTTGGTGGCTCCCTGCCATCCCCTTAGCTTTTTAGCTTTTTAGTGTTTAGTGGTAGTTTTCATTTAACCCACTAAAAGTTAAACTTTTAGCGGGGGATCTGAGTGCAGCAAAGTTTTGTTTTGGTTTTCTCGGCGTGGCCGCAGGTCTTGGCGCCAACAAAAAGTTGGTTTGTTTGGTTTTCCGTGCGTGGTAGGTTGTCGTACCCCAAGGCGGTTGTTTCTGAGGATTTCCGTATTTCCGGTTTTTGGTGGTAGCGTCCCGTGGGCGGTTGAAGCATCTTCATGAGAGGATCGGTGTGTTTCTTTTTGAAGCCACCTGAAACATTGTCCATGTGATTTCGGTTTGGGCAACTTCCTGCTTAGGATGTCCAATTAAGATTCATAATTTTGAACGCTGAGACGTGCCTGCCGAGAGTCAACGTGTCCAGTGTGATTTTGCATTACCAGCTTTGCGGAACACAAGAGAGTAAGCAGGGTTTTACTGGCGCGGAGGTACGGTCTGGTTCTGAGGCTTTCGAATATGGCCAAAGCGCAAGGCTAGAGGTTTGCCGGTGACCTTTCAGCCCGAGAGCCTTTCCCATCACGGGCCAATGTTGCTGTGGATGTTAGTTAGACAAGATTCAGGAGATGATGGCTGGGGTAGACTTAGGATACATTTTGCACTTTACCAGTGACTCAAAGTGAAGCAAACAATAAAATATGAATTCTACAACTTGGCCTAACTCTAATCATGATGGGACACTCACAACTTGAGTTGGAGATGTTAGAAGACAATGACCGAGTAGTCATAGGGATGGACATCAATCACTGTAGTATCACAGGACCCCCAAGCAGGACTCAACATCTCCCTTTGGGGGTCCTCAGAATGGCTTTTCGGATATTGCTCCTTTGGGCAATTTCAATATTCGCCTAAAAGGGGCCATGTAAAAGGCCCGTTTTAGCACACATATGTTCCACACATTTGCCGAATGTCAGACAACCTGTGCTACCATCCAAACGCCCCACCCCCCTACCCCAAAAAGAAACAACTACCCGGGTAGTTTTTGCCACTTTTACCACTACCTCGAAGGGGGTACTCAGTGGGCACTCACTCTCAAGTTTCCGACTTGATACTTGTTGTGCAAACCATTTCATTGTAAGACACAAAGTTCAGGCACGTTTTGGCAGTAGGAAGTGATACTCTTTGTGACTTCCCCGTCTCCAGCGTCCGCTGCTTGTGTTATATTTTCGGAGGTCAAGGCGCGCCCATGAGCGACTTCCACCAGGATGAGGGGGGGGAAGGGCTGCACCTCTACTTCTCCGAGGCGCGGTACGGATCCCAGACACCCACCAGCTACGGATCCCAATCGAATGGCTTTCCTTTTTCCCATGTCCGGTGCCCGAGGGCATCACGATGTCGCAAAAGGGCGACGTTTTTGCAACGTCGCCCATGAAGATTTCTTTCGTATACTTTTTGGAATCGCCCGGTAGACCTTTTGAAATCAATGTGCTTCCCATTAAACATACAAAAGGTGATCGACCTGTTGCTCAAAAAGGGAAGAGCAAGCGCACGGGAAAATGGCCGCAAGTCGGTACGCCCCCAGACACCTGGTGCGATTCCTTTTCCCAACTTGTTTGGGAGAGGGTGTCGCTGTAAAGTCAGCTTCCTTTTGCAGTTGGCTTGGAAAGTCGGCAACGGGAACCCAGGATCAATGAATGCATCAGGTGACCGAGGATTAACCCAGGTACTTGGTGGGGACCGATGGAACTTTGGGGGAGCCACACCCCTATTCCAGACTGATTTGTCCGGGGTCAACATGAGTCCAACCACTGTGGATGCACCAAGTCCGCTTTGCACCAGTTGGTAGGTGGTTTACCAACCAGATCCCCCCAGTAGTGCCCTTTGACCCTTTCTTTTTGGGGGGGCGGGTTCCCCTACTAAACTGGACTACATAAAAACATTAACAAAAACAAAAACAAAAAAAACAAAACACCAAAAAAGAACACATCGGGCACCCTGATTCTACCCTCTCTGGACGACCGGATCCCAACGAGTATTCTTTCGGATGGATCCCAACTCACTGGTGGGAAGTCAGCACGTCCCATTGGCGAGAGGCTGAAGAATTCACGGGGAGTCGTCCCACAAAAAGAAAAGAACCGAGTGGTCTAAATCTCAGTGAGTTCTAAGGGTCCCTTTCTGCCTCCGGAAAAGGTACCTTGGTCCCTTGGCTGGGGTCTCCTCTGGGCAGTCTAAAGGACTTGAATAGTTAGAATCGGGTCGTGGGCTGCTTGAAAGCCATGTTTGGTCCTGGTTAGCGGGTTGAAGCATTTGCAACTAGTTGTTCCCTTGCATTCCCCTCAGCATCCCTCGCAACAAAAAACAAGCAGCCAAAAAAAAGCTCGGACACGCGGTTGGGTTCTCCAGGTTGGTTTCCCTTGTAACCCCAAATTCGAGACAACTTGGCTCTTTGGTTGATCCTTCAGGGGAGGGTTCCAAAAGGCAAAGCAAACCGGTTCAGCAGACGCCAGACAGAAACAAGGCAGGAAGCCAAAAAACCTGAGGTTAGATCATCTAACTGGTGCGATAGGCAGGGTGGGAATGAACCCATTCCCCTGAAAGGAAACCACGAAGGATGGTTTATAAGGGTCATTCCATTTCTCATTCCTTGCCTATCGCACCAGGAAAAGGCTCCCACACCTTCACCGCAGGCCCTGCGGCCTCTCGCGTCGGGCACCGCCCTGCAACTGGCGCCCAGTGACGGCGCCGGCCGCTGCAGTGACGGCGCCAGCCGCTGCCTGACGTGGCGCGGCGGAGAGGGCGGGTCTCAAATACTGTGGATGGACGGAATCCACCAGCTAGGAACCCCTAGAATGATGATTTCCCTGTGAATGCCAACAAACAATGGTTTTTCATTGTTCCAAAGTGGTGCAGGATTTGGTCCATCCACAGTAGGACTCAGAATCCGAAGGTTGGTTTCCTTGTGGTGTTCCTGTCACAAAAACGGGGCATTTGGGTATAGCGGGTATATGGGAGTTTCTCAAAAGAGACCCATTCCTGAAGGCTCCTTTTGGTTTTCCTCAACCCAAAAAGGGTACCTGTTTGGAGTTTTCTGGGAGCTATCTTCCCCCCCATGGTTTCAATAGCACAGATATGGGCTTCCCTTGTATCAACGAGGGGTTGTGCCTCCCATTTCGGCTCCCGACCAAAAAAGGGACTTCTCCCCCGATCAGAAGTCAGCCAAGAGCCGATTAATCAACTGGATGTCTTTTTGTGTGTTTCTTGACCCCCTGAAATAGCTTGTTTCCTTGGAGCTCCTCTGAAAACCATCCAACCACGGGTCGACTTTTTTGAGAACCCCCATGCGAGCAGCGCCCATGACAATCGAACTGGCCGGCTTGACGGATGCCGAGAATGCAAGGGCCAAGCCGCAACCGCTGCTTCCGTCACCGACAGACATGCATGAATCGAAGACATATACTGTACGCATCGTCAGTCATCATTGCCATCAAGCAATCGTCATCCTCGGATCGCTGTTTCATGAACTCGCCGCACCATACAGATGGATGAATCATGAGTGGCTGTGCCGTGAATACTCAAACAAATCGCTGATGTATTGATTTCTTTGTTTATGAAGCATCAACGAAGCCTAAACAACAATTCTCGTTAGTCATCCATGCCGAATCAACGATGCATCATCAATTAGTCATCAATGACCTGGTTGATGCAGTAACTTGTCACAACTACACAGAGACCAAGAGACCAAGCGACCCTAAACAAGGAAACTTTCGTGCCCGAGGACTTTTGGGCCCCGAAGGATTCCTTGGGACTGAGTTCTTCGCTGAGGAACTGCACAATGCCTTGCGGCTATATGCCGGCGGAGCATGGCTTATCCATCAAGTCTGCAGACGTGGAGATCAGGCGGGATCAGTCACCTGCCTCCAAATCGATCTTGTACTTTGAGGTCCCAATAAGCGGAATCTGCACATTACATACTATTTCCTACGAACGCCATGGCCCAAGAGTGGATCCAACAGGGCGAACTGGGGGGGTGGCTTGGCCATCACCAGAAGTAAACCATAGCCCCCCTTCGGCCAGCCCCGGGGTTTGGACTAGGGGTATTATGCCTTTGCACTTTTTGATGTACCCTTTGAATCCCTTTTTGAAGAAAGAATCCCCTCACTTTCAGTGCGCACCAAAAGCAACCAGAAGAGTGTTGAGGTCCATGGCTGGTGATGCTAGTGCAAGATGTCGCAACCGAGGCAACCAACAAAATGTCTCTTATTGGGAGACAGACTCCGCACTTACAGATAAACTAAAGTGTTCTAGAATTTGCATACACAGATGTATCACATTTTTCTATATAAAAACAAATATAGTTATATATATATATATACATCATTCTACACCCCGTATATATGGTCTCGTGCACCGCGTTGATTGAAGACACCGAAACAACCGCAAGAGATTCTCATTTCTCCACTTCTTGGGCTTGAAGGCGCTTGGGACTTTTGAGCCTTTGAAACTTTAGTGGTAAGCAAACATGTCTGAGTTTCTCATGAGTGCTTGAAGCAATACCCTCATCCCTCGCCGTGTGTGGTTGGTTCTCCAGTGAATAACAGTGAACCCGAAAAGGATTCACTCTTTTTCTACCAGGTCGCTGGTTGCAGCTGGCTTGAATACGACAAACACATCTGCCAGGGGAGCCGTGGCGATGGTGCGGAAGGCTCACTTGCCCTTCTTGGAGTTCGGGCGCGGGTACAGGCCGGGCATTGTTGTGATATGTGGCATCAAGCATATGCAGTCATGCTAAATCATGTTGGAACTCCAGATTTTGGTTGTTCATAGTTTGGTGTATTGGTTAATAATCCAGTATTGCCAGACTTCACTCATTTAATTAAATGTATCTTTCGACCAGCAAACATGAACTGAACTGGACATAACGGTGCCCTCACACAGAGCGACCTTTCACCAAACAAGTGGTTTGCTGCAAGTTCGCTTTTGGCTTCCTTTCAGATATGCTTTTGCCTTATAAGTTTCTTAGCACCATTCAGCCCCAAAATTAGCATTGCTCAAGCACATGAAATCAAAAGGGTTTGTCAAACTTTGATTCTTTTGGTTCCGGGCTTCGAACTTGGTGTCCTTGGCTCAAGCTTCGGTTCTAGTCATGGCGAGACGTCGCTCGCCTGCCGCGGCCCTGGCCCTGGCCTTCGTCCTTTGCTTGGCGCAGCTCGCCTTCGTGCCGAATGCCGCGTCGAATCAGCGCCTGGAATCCTCCGAGCGCGCTCCGCGCGAGCGGGAGGCCTGTGGAAGCCGCGTCTTCTCGTCTTGTTTCGAAAGGCAACTTTCTGTGAGTCGCCCTTGGGGAAGGCCCTCCTCACTAGTAAAGCAACAGGTGCTAAATACTTCGCACACATGCATGGTTCTCCCATGCTCGTGAGGCAAATTGGTTGAGTACCCTGCGACCCCACTCTAGTTATCCAAGGACCCTTGTAGCTCACATGGGGAGCGGGATCCACTTTTGGCATCACAGGCCGTTTTGTCAACTTTCCACAGGTCGGGTACCGGCGTGGCCTGGTGATGGGCGGCCTGTTGCTGGCATCGTCCCCCATGGAGGCGAGGGACGCTCAGATTCCGGGGTCTCAAAATGTGCCCTTTTTGGGGTGTTCAAACATCACCTGCTCAGTCAATTTCAAGCGGAGTTACCTATGAGTGTGGAGATGTTTGGGGATACGCAACCCTGGTGCTGTGCAAGACATGTGAGGAGCGCCCAAACTCACTGATGGCCATGTAGGAGGTGACTGTGGGTATCTGGCTTCATGGGGGGTAATGATAGTTTTTCTCCACCCCCTAACCTTCATGGCATTCTTCGTAAATTCAAAGAACTGGATTTGAGTGTGTGCCAGTGTAAGCACTGAACATGCCGACACCAGCCTCAGTCATGAGATGCTTGATTTGAGACCCTTGCAACAAGCGAGCCAGCCAGCAACACAAGCAAGCACAAACACACCAACAAAAAACACAAAACAGACAGACAGACAGACAGAGACAGAGACAGAGACAGAGACAGAGACAGAGACAGAGACAGAGACAGAGACAGAGACAGAGACAGAGACAGAGACAGAGACAGAGACAGAGACAGAGACAGACAGACAGAGACAGAGACAGAGACAGACAGACAGACAGACAGACAAGCAAGCAAGCCAGCAAGCAAGCAAACAAGCAAACAAACAAACAAACAAACACACAAACACACACACAAGCAAACACACACAAACAAACACACACACACACAAACAAACACACAAGCAAGCAAGCATTACAGAACAAGGCGAGTTTCCAAATAATGACAAATCAAACAGATCGTGAGACATAATCTGGACAATTAGACACACGCATTCTTCCTGTGGCTTGCAAGCCAAATCCATCGTAGGAACCATACATATCCTTTCTAGATAGAAACAATTCCGCACTGGCTTAGAGTGGCTTTCTTCCATTTACACTCTCTCCCACTAACATGGCACCTGTCAAAGGGTTCCTTGAAGCGGACCTTTTTTTTGCAGGTATCCCACAAATGCTATGTTGGGAGCAGGGGTGGAAAAAAGCATCCGGCACTGGCTTAGATTGGCTTGTTCCGTTTACCAGGCAAACCCCATGGATTTGGTTTTAACGGGTCGCCTAACGTTGAGGCGATGGCAGCTCCCAAGACCATCCTGGTGGCCGGAGCCACGGGGCAGACGGGGCGGCGCATCGTGGAGCGGCTCAGCAAGACGGACTCCGTGGCTGGACGGCGAGCTGGGTGGATTTGTGTTCACCCGCCTCGGGTCGTTCACTGGGCCCTTGTTTTTTTTCTTTCTTTTTTTTTGGGGGCGGGGGGGGGGGTTATCAAAGTCAGCAAATGGGGGTGTTTCCCGAAAAATCCTACCCCCGCCCCCCGATAAAGGTAAAATAGAGGGGGCAGGTGAACTGTGCAACATGTGTGCTTTGAAGGAAGGTTGAAAGTTAAAGGTTAAACCCGTTTATGGTCCCACATAATCCCACTGGTCAACCAAAAAAGTAACATGTTGCACGCCCAGGTGGCAGTGCTCGGGGGCGTGCGTGATGTGACGAAGGCGCAGAAGGAGCTGAGCAAGTCGCGCCTCGGTTTCGTTTTACGAAGCGCGAGGTTGAATTGCAAGGGGCGGGTGTGGCTCCGTGTCAAAACAGGAAAACCCAAAGGGTAAGTGGTTGCATTTTGATGGGTTCTCGAAACTACTTTTGGGGGTCGAATCCCAGGTGCCCAGCATTTCACTGGTCATTCGGTAAGAAAGTTGTCGCTTCTTGCAACGGGTCGCCACTCCCCCTCTGCCTTCTCCCTGGGGTTCCTCCAAACAAGCCTGCAAAGGCCGTATCTTTGGGGCAACCCGGAATCTCCAAACACCTTGCTATTTTTTGACAGGCAGAATCTGAACACGTGATTTCTGTGGCTGCGCCTTTTGTTGTGGGGCCAAGTTCTGGTCCGGTCAACGGGTTTCTCACTTCCGGGATACCCAGGTCCATTGCCATCCGGGGCGCCATGGTGGACGAGGTCAAAGCGGTGGACACCACGGGCGTGTCCTTGAAACCGCTGGACGTGGCCAAGGATTCGGTGGACAAACTCGCGGAGACCTTGCCACCAGATCGCAACAAGGGGTGGGGGGCTACCCCAACCCGCTTGAAGTCGGCTCGGCAAAATTGGGCGGACATTCTTTACATATCTGTGATGTAACAAGACCTGCTGGCTCGTTACATACCCCGCTTGCATACCTTCGCTACCTACCTTACATGAACAAAACCGCCAGGGGGCTTGGTGGTTGCCTGCCCCTTGCTGCATACCCCAACACATACCCAGACTCTCAGTGGTTTCCCGTGAGTGCCGGCACGCTTTCGCAGGACATACCTGTGAAGAGCAAACTTAAAGAGACTTTCAGGCACTGTTTTCCCGTTACACACTTACGTAAGAAGGAAAGGTCATGGCCCTCTGGAGGCCAATAAATCAATCAAACCCTGGTTGAACAAAACAGACAAATGATAAACCCGCAGTCATACCCTGGTTTGCTCAGTTGGTAAATGGCTTTCCGCAGCCTGGGTGTCAACCAGTGAATCGCAGCTACCCGTGTGTGCCATGGTCAGACCTCACGTGGGTCAGAATCACGGTTCCTCTAGGAACCCTCACATTGGTTTCCGATAGCCCTTAGCGGGGGGGCGCCGCAACAGGTTTGAATTTCAGGCAGTTTCAGGCAGAAACAAAGCAGCCCAACAAACCGGAGGATGTGCTGTGAGGTGTGCGCCAACCACAAAAACAGAACTGCCTGAAATTTCCCGACCCGCCCCGGCTGAGGGCCGGCCGCCAAGTGGTCTAACATCTCCAGAGCTTGATCAGTCTTACCGACCCAAGTAGAGGGGTCTTCTGACTGTGGCACATTGAACTCACTCGAGCAGCGCCCAAAACTATTTCCTCTTCGCCCTTTTAGTAGAAGGTTCTACTATTTGGTTGTTCAAGGCTTGCAGCGTCGCTGTATACTCATACTCATACCCCGGTTTGAGACCTGACCTCAATCTACAAGAGCCGTAGCAAGAGAAATCCACCGGAAGGTCATGACACTTCATGGTCCTCAGCTAAACTTGGCAGCCAACAAGGCCTTGAGACCCCGCAAAAGCGTACAGTCCGAATCTTTCCTCGCGAGCGGTGGGGGCTTTAGCCTTGGCTCCAGGGAAGCCGCTGAACTGGAATACAGCTTGCATCATTCAAGGGTACTTGAAGCCCAAGCAATGAACCTTGGTGGCCAGCCGTCCGGTTCCATAGCTTTATAGGCTTTTAGGGTTTAGTGGTGGTTTCCATTTAACTCACTGAAAGTTAAACCTTTAGCAGGGGATCTGAGGGCAGCCCAGGATCGGGGAATGATGATTGTAATACTTCACATTTAGATCCAGCTTTGCATATAGTGTTCAAAGAGAATCGCGCAACTTGAAAACGAATATCCGCAAGGCCGATGGGATTTTGGTTGCCCAAAGAAAGTCGGGGTGTGTGACTTGCCCCTAGGTCCTTGTGAGGCCCCAGGACCCTTAGTAACTATTCACCTCAACTCAACTCGCTAGTAACTCAACTTACAACTGTCCGAAACTATTGTGCCACTAAACAACTGAGTACCCCGCCCCTCACCCGCCCCACTGCCAAATGCGCGAAAGAATCCATTGTATTCCAACACGCGCATTGGCAAACAACCTTTTCATGTGTGTCTCGCTGCCCAAAGAACATGCGGCCTGCCTAGAAAGCAGACCATTTACTCGTAACTGGTTTTGGTTTGGTGGATGAAACATGGGCAGCCCGAAGAAGGTCTCCCTTCTGCACCAGGGTTTACAGGGTTGTACCCTTGGGGATCCAAGCATAAGTGAGGTTTCTGCCTTTTTTTCCAGATTATCCAGCACCATCCAAAAATATGACTGATGTCCAAGTTCAAGGAAACGTGATGCTTCTGGTTTGACTGATACCCAGATTCCATCACACTTCTAGGGGTTGATTCTCATTCTTTTCAAACTCTTTCCAAGAAAGGAGCCTGGAAACAAATGGGCAAAGTCCCCACTAGCACACTCCGCGCAAGGTCAATCAAACAGCTCACGGCAATGCCCTTCAGGAGCGGCTGCGACGCTTTGGTCATCGCCACCGGCTTTGTGCCCGGCAATCCCTTCGCCATGAACGAGGAGGCAAGTGCTGGGGTTCCCTTTGGCCCCAGACCTATCGCCGA